TGGGGGGTGGGGGACACGCGGGGACCGCCGCTGTCCCCCGCGAGGCCGTGGGAAGCTGCCGGGGACCGAGGGACGATGTAGAAATAAACGCGAAGTACTCGAAGAGAGGGGGTGCGGGGGGGGGAGAGTGAAGGGAGGGGGGGGGATGCGGGGGGAGCCGCTCTCAATTATTAAAACGCAAAGACGCCGGGACACCACCGAGAAGCAGGAGGAGGGAGGAGGTGGAAATGCTCTAGGAAGCCGCGGGGGTCACTTCTGCAGCCCCATCCCCCTTCTCCCCCTTCTCCCCCCCCATCACTCCCAACTCAGATCCCCCCCCCCTCCGGCAGAAAGTGGGAGAAAGAGCAACTTAGAGCGTAACCACACAGACACACACCAATAAATACCGTGACAGCAACAGCCACAAACCGACCAACCTAAGTCACAACTTTCAGAAGGAAAACAAAAAAAACATCCGAACAACAAACCCGAAGGCGAAAACTGTCGGTGACGATGCTACTGCGTTTGTTTTGCTTTGGGTCTCTTTGCGTTGCTTTTTCTTTCTTAAGAGTTTTCTTTCTTTTCCCTTTGCTCGGTAAAGGAGGACGGCGCTGGGGGCTGTGGGGTTGCTCGATTTGGGGGCGGCTTTTGTCTTTGGTTCTGGCTGTTTGGCGTTGGTTTATATTTTTTGGTTGTTTTTGTGATTTTGCTTTTATTTATTTACTTATTTTTTTTTTCTCCTCGAATGCTGTTTTTCGCGAGGCTTTGGCGATGGGTCTTGTCTGCGCCGGGGGAGCGGAGGGAGCCGGGCTGGGGCCGGGACTTGGGGCTGGAGCAGGGGCCGGATCCGTGCCTGCCCCTCGGTGCTGGGCACCCGGAGCGCAGCCGCTCGGGAGCAGCCCCTTTGCTCCCCGCTGCTGCCGCCGTACCCCAAAAAGTTACTTCCGAGCCCCTTTGTCTCTGCGGGGTTGGCTCTCCCACCCCTGCCCCAGCGGGGATGCTCCCTCCGCTCCCCCTAACCCCGAGAGGAGGTGCAGAGAGCTTCAGCAGGGCTCGTGTCCCCCGGCACCCCCGTAAAACCGCTGGATTTGGGGTTCGTGAGCAAGGTCCCGGCCCGGCTCCCCCCGAGGGTTGGGGGTTATTTCAGCCGGGCAGCGACCGCAGCCCCGGTGCGAGGAGGCAGGGGCTGAAATGACATTTGGCTCAGTGGCAACGGGAAGGGGCTCGGAAGTCGTTTGGTGGAAATAATACACCTTTGGGGGGGGGGGCTGCTGGCTTTTTGGGGGATGGGGGTGGGGGGGTCCGTTTGCACTATCCCAGCCTCCCGGCTCGGCAGCGATGCTATTCCGCAATAACGGTGCTGGTACTGCTAGGCAGGGTGTCTCGCGGATCGGGGAGGGGGGAGGGAAATAAATAAGCAAAAAAAAAAAAAGAAAGAAAAAGGTCAGAGCTCCTCATGTGAAACGCCAGCTAGGTGCAGAAGCCATTGCAGGGTCCGGCTGTTACGGAATGACTGTTAATGCTTTTAAGTAAGGCGGTATCTGTGAAGGGAAAATACCCTCCCGTCTAAATCAAAACAAACAATAGACTGAAATTATGCATGACCTAAAAAAGACAAGGAAGAAAAAAGGCATAGAAAGATCCGTGATAAAGTCTCGATATTATTTATTTATTTAACTATTTATTTTATTATTATTATTAATATTATTATTATTATTTTGTGTATCATTGTTTGCAGCGCAAACATTCTATGCATTTTGAAACTGAGCACTAAATAGACTAGCTTCTGGTAGAATCTTTTGTGGATGGTGTAATTTCACAGTTTAACTGCCTGTTTTCACCGAAAACACAAACATTCTTGTCACGTTCTTGTATTTAGATTTAAAAGAGGTAAAAAAAAAAAAAAAAAAAAAAAGGAAAAAAAAAAAAGAGGACGATTGTAAATATTTTCTTTAATGCACAAAGAAAAAAAAAAAAAGGTTACAAACTGCAACCACGTGTGGATCCTGAAATGTCTCACTGAATAATCTACCTGTCCATGTATGTTTGCTGAGCTTTCTCCTTGGTTGTGTCTTTACTATATTACTTTTATTTCTATCAGAAATATTTCTGTACGCCAAAATACAACAGGGAGATGCGTCCCAGCATACTTACAAATAAATCAAACGTGAAAACAGAATAGTTATTATTATTGGGTGCATTTAAAAAAATAATAATAATATTTCCGAGACACGGCTGGTAAATTCAAAGTAGAGCAGTTAGCCGATAGGACTAATTCTACCAAAAAGAAA